CGCTGCTTCCTGGGCCGACTGTGAGGGTAGAAGCAGGGATCTTGAGACCCTCCCGGAGACTGGTGGTGTGCTCGGCACGGGGCCCAGACTTTAGCTCCATAAACATTAGTAACGCATGTTTGACACGTGCGGGAGCTGTCTTATTGTGACCAGCTCGGGTGTGCCTGTGACTTCCCGCTGAGGGCCCTTCTGGGCAGGCAGACAAGGTATGTTTTCAGAATGTTTTTGCTCAGGGTGTGTGTATGCATCATACATAGTGTCCAGAGTACACACGGATTCGTGTAAAACGTGCCCACCATGGAGTGCTGGTTCCGGAGAGGCCTGCTTGCACAGCTTAGCGTGTTTGTGGACACAGGAAACACAAAGAGCCGTGCCTGCCACAAGCATAGAGTGTTTCTGTGTGTGTCCACGTGCGTGTGCTTTGTACTCATCGCTACACACAGGATGTGTAAACTCGGTGTACAGAGGAGTCTTGTATATTGACGACATGTACGTGTCTGCACAGTACATGGTTAAGCACAATATACAGCCCCGTGTGCTCCGTGTGCGTGCACTGTGTCTGCAGAGTAGTCTCGCAGACGGGGTGTCTGTACACGCTGTGGACACGCATTGCCACAATGGACTCTAGTGTGTACACACCGTGTGCAGAGTGCACACACGTGTATGCCTTCTACATGCCTATATGGGGGACTGTATGCAGAGGACACATGCAAGTGTCCCAGAGCGCACATGCCAGCAGGCTCTGCACACCCACGTGTGTGCCACAGTGCCCATAGAGAGGACAGTTGTGCGCAGCGCCCAATGCATGTGCATTTACATGTGACATGCACGCACCATGCTCATGCCCGGGCGAGTGTGCACATGCACACTTGTGGAGCTCGCAGGCCTGAGTCCATGGTATACACGCCGTGTTCTGTGCATGTGGCCGGCATGTATACACAACATGCGTCTGCCCTCAGGTAGACACGTGCAGCACGCGTGGCCCAGGCAGGACACATGTATGTACACATCACAGAAATACGTGTGCACGTGGGTGACCCGAGCCCCTGCTCCCAGGAGCATGACTTGGAGGAAGGAGGAGGGCAAGGGGTAGGGGAGGGGCAGCAGATGCCAGGCCAGCGTTGGGGACACAGGTCATGACCTTTGACTCCCTGGAGATCCTGTGCCTCCAGGGGCAGTTGGAGCCCTGGCCCCATTCCACTTGCAGGGGCATCTCTGGCTTCCTTGGCGACTTGGTCTTCAAGTCTCCTGCCCTGTCCAGGGCTAGGAAGGAGTGGGCCTGAGGATGACCCAGTCGGGGTCCCGGAGACTGGGGCAGGCAGGAGGTGGAAGCGAAGCTCAGTGTTACCAGCTGTTGCGAGGTCTGGCCTGGCCTGGGTGACGAGGGGCGTCATCCTCCGAGGGCTGGCAGCTCCTGCACATTCTGGGCGATAATCATAGTTTTCCATCTCTTATTGATGACCTCCGAAGGCTCCTGGCAAGCTGTGATCAGGTGAGCCGGGCTGCCATGTGTCAGGCAGTCCTTGCTAACTAACCCAGGTTCCGCTTGGCCCTGGCTCCGTGGGTCTGTGGTGGCCGAGGCCCCACTCACCAGGACTGGTCACACGCTGGACCAGCTGAGTGGGATGGCAGGCAGGAGGCCCCAGGAAGAGCCAGAGGTGTGTGAGAGGTGACCTGCCTGCCGCTGTCCCCTCTGGGCTGGTGTGGGGGCACCAGGACCCCCGTGACTCCACAGGGAAGAAGGACTCTGTGGCCCCTGCTGGTGCAGGGACATGGGTGACGGGGGGCAGCAGGGGCCTGGGGTCAGGGACTACCTGTGGGGTTTCCATTCTCAAGGAGGTCCCTCTGGAGTGGGGGTGAGGCCTGTCCAGTGGCAAGGTGGGGACAGGGACCCATCTCGGTTGACCATCAGGCAGAGGTGTCAACATCTAAGGGAAGGGAAGGTGGGGAGAAGCGGGTCTGGGGAGGGAGGAGCTATTTTTAGGTGCAAGTCTGAGGTGTCTGTAGATCCCACGTGGAGATGCCACACAGGCAGCGGGAGCTTGGCACAGACGTCGGGAGGCAGAGGGAGCCTGGTGGGTGGAGAGCTGGAGAAGCCAGCAAAGGGGTTCAGGGAGGATGGGAACCAGGCAGGAGGACTCCTGGGTAAGCCCTGCACTCAGAGGCAGGAGGAGGGCCCAGCTGGTGAAGAGTGATTGGGGGGGAGGGGCACGTGCCTTGGGCACCCAGGGCCGGCAGCTCCCTCTCCTTGGCTCTTCTGGTGGGAGCAGGGGTCATGGAGCCTAGAGTCGTCCTGGGTACTGGTCTCCTGGGCAGAGCCACCCACCCTGGAATCACTGGGCCCGGGGGGCTTCCTGGAGGAGGAGAGGATTCAGGCAGGCCTGAGGCTGGAGGGAGGCTTGTGGATAGGGTTCCTTGTGGAGAGGGTTCCGTGTGGCCCTCAGAGGCGAGTGAAGGCCTGGAGGGTTCAGTGGCCTCAGCCTGGATGGTGGAGGGAGGAGAGGCTGAGAGGAATGGCCCAGGCCTGGGTGGGACCACGGTCCAGGAGGCCTGGACCACCATCCGTCTCAGGAGCAGCAGATCTGTGTGGGGCATGGTTGAGGGGGGCGCCCCGGCCTCCAGCACAGAGAATTGGGCAGGGGAGGTTCCTGCAAGGGATGGAGGAACAGAAGGAAGACCCAAGGCCAGGGCGGGGCTGATGCCACCTGGAATTCCCTGGAGGGGAAGCTGAGGAAAGGGCGCCAGCAGATGTGCCCTGGCCAGCTACTGGACTCCACGCTGACCACTGACCTCGCACACTCCCACCCTCCGGGCAGCCTCCCGCCTTGTGACCCGGCAGGGGCGAGTGCGCTGGCCCTTTCCCGACCTCAGCTCCCCACAAGGGCTGCTTCAAAGACCCCAGCAGGCGAACGGGTGCGGCTTACTGCGGGGTCCCCGCCGGCCCCGCGGGACAGGTGCCAGCCCGCCCTGCCGCCCCCAGGCACCACGTCCACTACGTGATCCCGTACGACGGGGACCAGTCTGTGGTGGACGCCTCCGAGAACTACTTCGTGACAGACAACGTCACCAAGCAGGAGATCGACCTCATGCTGGGGCTGCTGCTCGGCTTCTGCATCAGCTGGTT